CAAATGAGAAAGAGAGGAAGGGCAAGATCTGATAGTAAGCAAATAAGAACTAGTCAGGTCAGTAAGTAGCAGACTTTAGATTTTGATTTTTCCAAGAATGAAGTCAGTAATGGTGGTGAGAAGATAGTTGATGGTATTGATGGTTGGGCAGAATCAACCACCAAGGCGCCATGACTGTGATATCTTGGCACTGCTAAGGATTTGGTGCCTCCTTGGTAGTTGGAAACCTAAAGGAGGCTTGCAGGAAATTTAAACCTCTTTTAGTGTTTTTGATGGAAACTAAAGTGCAACAAGATAGATTGGAAAGGGTTAGAAGTGGTTTTGATTTTCAAAAGGTGTGTTATGTGGATCTAAGGGGTATAAGAGGTGGTTTGGCAATGTGGCGGAAGGATGAACTAGAAGTTGATATTTTACAGGCTTCTCGCAACATCATACATGCTCGAACTAAACATTCTGGGGCTGATTTTCTAGAATATCTTGCTTTGATCAATGTGTCTCCAGAAGAAGCAGAAAGATTGTAGGTGGGGAGGAGATTGAGAGTTACAGCAGCAACTATTGAGTGGTCTTGGATGTGTGTGCGTGACTTCAATGATATTCCGAAGCAAGAGGAGAAATTGGGAGGTAATATTAGGGCTGTTAGGAAAATTTTAAATTTCCAAAGTATGCTTTCTGATTGTGATTTGATGGAATTGGAATTTAAGGGTTCGAAATTCACATGGCAGAATGGAAGGGAAGCTCACATTAAGGAAAGGATTGATAGGGCTCTAGGAAATGAGGAAATGAGATTAAAATTTCCAGGGGCTATGGTGTTTCATACACATCCAGTTGGGTCAAATCACCATTCACTTTTGCTTAATTTTTGTTATGTGGATAGTAGAACTCCTAGAAGGTTCAAGTTTGAGGAAGTATGATGTGAATATGAAGAGTTTTGGGATGTGGTGAGAAAATGATGGATTTGTGGTAGTAGTTGGGAAGAGAATAAAATTCTTGAATTGGTTAGTCAGTTGAGAAGGTGTAGGAAAGTTTTGATAGATTGGAGCAAGAATACTTTTCTTAATAATAGGAAAATTTTAGATGAATTGATGAAGAAGGTGGAGATATGCAAGGACTGTATCTTGACAGAATCTAAAGTTGCTGAATAAGAAAAATTGACAGCTGAAATGGAAGCAGTATGGGATACTGGAGAAAAGTATTGGAGGAAAAGGGCAAGGGTTAAATGGTTGAAGGCTGGAGGTTATCATTCAAAGTTTTTTTATCTTCTCATGATCAGAAGAAGGGCCTGAAATAAGATTGTGAGGCTAAAGAAAAGTGATGATGTATGGTTGGAGGATGAAGGAGATATTGCTACTAAGTTTGTAGAAAATTATAAAGAATTATTCTCAGGTTCAAGGCAAAGAGATATGAGTTTTGTGCTGGATTATGTGGAGAGGCGCATTACTAAATAAGATAATAGGGAGCTGCTGAGAAGTGTTAATAGAGAGAAAGTGAAAATAGCTTGTTTTCAACTTGGTGCCAGAAAGCTCTAGGACCAGATGGATTTTCAGGTTAGTTCTATCATTTTTCTTAAGAAACAGTTGGCAATGAAGTTTTTGAGATGGTTTAGAATTTTTTGGAGAAAGGGGAGGATTTGCATGTGATTAATAAGACAGATCTAGTAACGATTCCTAAAGTTGCTGAGCCTGAATTGGTAACACAGTGTAAATCCATTAGTTTGTGCAATTTTTGTTATAAGGTAATAGCAAAAGTGATGACTAATAGGATGAAAAGCATCATGCCTAAAATTATTTCACAAAATCAAATGTGCTTTTGTGAAAGGCAGATTGATTCAAGATAATATCTTAATAGCTCATGAGGGGTTTCGTTACTTGAAGAGAAAAAGGAAGAGTAGAATGTATGAATTTGCTTGACGATGGACATAAGCAAGGCATATGATAGGGTGGACTGGGATTTTTTGAAGGAGGTCTTGCTTAAGATGGGTTTTGAAGATATATGGGTGTTAAGAATTATGGAATGTGTTGCATCTGTGGAATATAGCATTAATCTGTCTGGAAAAAGAGTAGTTAACATTATTCCTGGTAGGGGTTTAGGGCAAGGGGATCCTCTTTCCCCTTACCTTTTCATTATTGTTGCTGAAGTGCTTTCCAAGATCATTAAGAGACATATACAAGGAAAAGATATAACTGGGATTAAGTTAACAACTCATTGTCTAATTTTATCTCATTGTTTTATGCTGACGATGCTTTATTTTTTCTGAAGGCTAATAAGAAAAGTTGTGAAATGTTGAGTAGAATTTTTGATGTATATGGTAGGGCCTCTGGTCAACTTGTTAATCTGGATAAATTTGGTATTTTTTCTCAGAAAATACACCTGATGATAAGAAGGTGAAGGTGTGTACTTGGCTTGGAATAAGAGAAACAAGGGATCCAGGCAAGTATTTAGGGCTGCCTAGTGTTTAGGGAAGGTCGAAACCTAAAGCATTGCCATTTATAAGGGAAAAGATGGCGGGGAAAATTCAAAACTGGAAGTAGAAGTTTTTAACTCAGGCAAGTAAAGAGGCGCTTATGAAAGCAATAGCTAATGCTGTTTCGATCCATCCTATGTCTTGTTTCAAATACCCAAAAAAGACTTGTGTTGAATTTGACAGGTTAATATCCAAGTTTTGGTGGAGTAAGGATAAGGAGCGTGATGATATTCATTGGATGGCTTGGAAGGATTTAATGAAACCTAAAGGTGCAGGAGGTTTATGATTTCGTGACTTTGTTGATTTTAATAATGCTCTGTTGGGAAAGACAGCTTGGAGGATACTACAGAATCCTAAAGCTATGTGGGTGCAAATTCAAAGGGATTGTATTTTCTCAAATCTAATTTTCTTGAAGCAGAGAAGGGTGGAAGAGCTTCTTGGGGATGGTCAAGTTTGTTGGATGGTAAAAAGGTAATCAAGTCTGATTTGATCTGGTATGTAAGGAATAGAGGGAGTGTGAAGTTATGGATTGACGTATGGGTGTCAGGGATTGATTTAGTTTTTTTGCTTCTGAATAGGAAAGAGAATCTGGCAAGTTGGTAGTTGATATCATATCTAATGGTGCTTGGAAATTATATAGTTTGGTTGACAAGCTACTAAAGAATGTAGTAGAAGCTATCAGAAAAATTCCTTTGCCTAGTGCCACGATTGATGATAAATTGAGATGGAGTAGAAGTAGAAATGGTAATTATGAAGTAAAGTCGGGATATGTGAAGATCAAGTTGAATAAGAAGGATAATGGACATACTCGGACTGGATGCTCATATAAAGTGGGTGATGATTTATGGAAGGAAATTTGGAAGCTTAAAGTGGTCCCAAAAGTGAAGCATTTTTTGTGTATAGCTGCTACTGGTGGTATTACTATAGAGGCAGCTATAGTTAAGAGAAAATGTATAGAACTCCTATCTATAGAATTTGTGAAACTGATAGTGAGTCGATTAAGCATTGTCTCTTAACTTGTGAATGGGCTCAAAGAGTTTGGTTCGGAAGTCTATTGGCTCTGTTGGCTAGGAGTGCTGGGAGTGACAGGTTTGAAAGATGGATATACGGTTTTGTTGGGAAGGAAAGCATTACGTGTGAATTTGAAAAGGCAATGATTGCTACTTTGCGCTGATGTATGTGGAAGGAAAGGTGTAGGCTGATTTTCTAGCAAGGAGAATTCAGGCCATCTAGGGTTGTTGTTGATGCATTAAAATTGGTTAATGATTTTTGGAAAGTGAACGGCTTTAACATCGAACTGCAGAAAAATGGTAGATCAAAAGAGGGTAAGATAAGAGCTGATAGAAGTGGGTTGGAATTTAGAATCAGTGTGGGTGGTTCTTATCAGATGGAGAGTGGAAGTACAGGAATTGGGGTGGTAGTGCGGGATATCGAAGGAAGAATGATTGATGGATTTGCAGGGAGGGTTCATTCTAGTTCTGCTCTAATGACTGAAGCTTTGGCTATGCGAAAGGCTTTAAGTATGGTGGATATTTGTTCAAGTAGGCTAGTACTGATTGAATCTGATTGTAAGTTTCTAGCTAGGAGCTCATTAGAGAAAAGGCTTGACTTATGTGATTGGAAGAGTCAGGTTGTGGTGGAGGATATTGCTGCTAAGCTATGTAGATTTGCTAATGTGCAGATTTCATTGATTCCCAGATCAATGAACAAAACTGCTGACTAGGCAGCCGTGAGGCCATTAAAGGGGATGTGTCCTTGGAATTGGGCGGCAACATCTCCGTTCCCTCTTGCCAATCTTTTTTTAGATGAAGCTCTTAATTGCAACAGCGATGCTTTTGGTTGTGAGATTAGAAGTGGTATTGGCTGGCCAATGTTACTTTTGCTCTGATTGTGTTTGTTAGTTTTTTTTTTTTTTTTGGTGTTAGGTTGTACTTTTTAGGTTTTCTTGAGTGTTTTTTTTCTTAATTTTGGCTATTGGTGTTTGTACTTATTTTTTTGGTGATCAATAAAAATGACTTTGTTTTGTCCAAAAAAAAAAAAAAAACTTGCTTGTGTTTGAGGAGTACTAACCACTAAGATTCGCATTTAGGATTTTTGTTCTGGCTAGATGATATTTAATTTCAAAAGTAAATTGGATAAAAACAATTATTTTATATAACGTAAAATCGTTAGAGACAGTAAGCAATTAACTTACAGTTAAATATTTAAAAATCACATCTAGATGCTATATAGGTGTAACATAATTTAATTATTATGGTCTGTCATTTTTTTAAAAAAATATTTTAAATTTCTCCACTTTACTTACATTTTATAATTTTTATTTTTTTTGATATTTTAAGTTTAAATATTTTTTTAATATTTTAAATTTCTAAATAAATAAAGTCTATGGACTTTAAAAGATCTAAAATATTTATAAATTTAAAATATTTAAAAATAAAAGCACTAAAATATTTTTTTAAAAAAAGAAAAAGAAGAAGTAACAAAAACACAAGTAGGGCTCCACAGTTATCTCTTCCACCCGTGACGTGGAATGCAGTTTTCTTCAGTGCACACTTTGTAGGGTGCGATTCGTGCCGAAGACAAGGAATACGCGAACTCTACGCTTGACGCGGGAAAGAGGTAAACATTAGAGGGACACATGGCGAACAAGCTCATCAATGAGATGGGATTGCCCAAATGGATCGCTAGTATCTTTGCTGCTCGTAACATCGTCACTGCCAAGGTTAATTTATTGTGCCATTTTGCGCTTTTAATTCGTATTCTGCTTCTTCTATTTCCCCTTACAATTTCTCATTATTGCCCGCCCAGAATAACTGATAACTCGTCGCCAACTGTTCAAATTTGCATAAAAAATCACTATTCATCGAATTCCGATTTCGATTTTCTTAGTCGTGTTCAGTATTCCGAATATAACTCACGCCCTTTAGTTGCCAATTCGTTTGCATCCTTCGTCTTTTACAGTTCATACCGGTCACCATTATACTTTGTATTGGTAAAATCACAGGATGCGTTATCTCTCACTGAATTAGAGTTGATGGAATTGCTGGACGTTGGGCTGGCTGAAGTAATATGTGCAGTAGCACACATTAGTGAAGCTGTTTGTCCACCATGTCACACTGTAATATGCGCGCTCCCTCCCTCCCTCCCCCTTTTTGGTTTAAGCATCTGAGCAGTGACCAGTTTCAGCTGTGTTCCCAGGCTTTGTATCTGATGGAGCATCGAGTAGAACACGAAAATTTGGCTGGTCATCTTCCCACTCGTTTGAAAGGACTAGACGAGGCCTTGTGTGGCGGTATACCATTTGGTGCTTTGACAGAGTTGGTTGGTCCAGCTGGAATTGGCAAAACGCAGGTCGTTGTTTTAATCTGTTATTGGGTATCTCTGCAAGGAATATCTTGGACATCTGCCTTATGAATGGTGGACTTGAAGTGCATGAAGGATTTAGATTTTTTTTCTTTTGTCATACTACACCTTGATATAGAAATTTGCAGTATAGTCAAGAATCAAGATTCCACTTATGCTTTCATAGGGGTAGTTCCATGGAAATTGGTAACAACTATTCTGAATCATTGTGTCCAGATGGACGAGTCTGATGAACATATAACCAATTTATGTTCAATTTAAACCAAGTGCCTCAGGTTAGTAAAGTGACTCTTCTACTGTACAAGATAATGAATACTATCATGGTAATTATGTTGCTTGAAAGGATCAACAAAGAAAGCTTACAAGCTGGGGACATAGGTATAGAGACGCTTTCCAACACAACGGTCAAGTTTTTAATCTGGCCTTAAAGTTGCTGGGTGGTTGAACAGCTAGTACTGAGTTGTTTCATACGCTAGATAGACTTGAGTTAAAGATAATTCTTCTGTTTTCATGATAATCGCTCCATGACAAAAGGCACAGTCAATGGGATAAAAGGTTTCTATCAACAGAAATATAAGAGGTTTATTCACATTGAGGAAATTTTCTTGGTGTTTAATCTGTGGAGAACTGAAACATTTGGTTCACTGTGGAAAAGAAAGGGTGGTGTATTTTTTTTAGTAATTATATATAGCAGTTAAGTCTTGGTCAGGACTAGTTAAGTCCTCTTGATTAGCATTATCTGTGAATTCTGAACACTATATACTGATGCTTGTTATGTGGAAATATATTTGCCGTGTCATTTGATCTTTTAGAGATAAGCACGTCAAATATATTCTTATACTTGCCTTCAACAATGCCATAGGTTTGTTAATACTTTTTCAGGAGCCATTGATCTGGAAGGACAAATTTTACATTGCAGTTTTGTTTGAAGCTCTCATTGCTAGCCTCTTTGCCGCCAACATGTGGAGGCTTAGATGGTCGAGTAATCTATATAGATGCTGAGTCAAAATTCAGTTCTAAAAGGTTATTGAAGCAGACACGAAACAATCATGTGATATAATTTCTTATTATGTACTCCAATAAGAAAATGCTATATATTTTGGTTATGAATTTATTTTTTGCAGACTGATAGAGATTGGAATTAAGAATTTTCCTGAAATATTTCACAGGAAAGGAATGGCACAGGAGGTATGTGGGTTCTTTTTTTTTTTCCCCTCAAAATATCTTTTCCTGGCTTTTCTGTCCCAGGTGAACTTGCTAGTCTCTTTAGAGACTTACAGATAGTTATCTTCTTAACACATTGCAGATGGCTGGCAGAATCCTAATTTTGCGCCCCACTTCACTTTCTGAATTCACTGAGAGGTGCGAATTTTGTACTTGGCATTGGAATGTATGGTAAGGAAGGGCAAGTGGATGGTAAATCTACTAGGTAATACCAAGAGGTTGAAAGATGAGAACTTGATGCCTGGCTGTGTACAAAAAACTGAACCTCTGCAGTTTTAACTTTTAAGAGAATGTGAAGGGATGGATTTCAAATTATTAATCCAGTAGGATGGGATAAAAATGCAAAAGATTCTGAAGTTAATGGTAAGGGAATGGATTGTGAAATCTATAAGGTAATATCAATATGTTGAAATATGGGATCTTTCTGGTGTTTGCAATGTATAAAGATACCTAGACCTCTGCAATCTTAAGAGAATGTCAAGGGAAAAAAAAATTCCAAAATGTTTATTTATATTCACCAATAAAATTTCAAATTATTAATTCAGCAGCATGGATGAAAAATGCAAAAGACTAAGTTTTGCTTTTAGCCTGGATAAATAAATAAATAAATTGTCTGCAGAGTTCGATGGTTGTAATTGATTAAATATCTCTGCTTGTTACTTATACTAAGCTTTTATCAAGGTATGGTATATATCTCGTTACAGGTGGTCATTCCATACCATTCTTTTCTTTCTGTTTTTTGTCCTTTTTATCAATTGAAACAAATTTAGCAGGATGGGTTAAGAATGCAAAAGACTAAGTTTTGCTTTTACCCTGGATAAATAAATAACTAGATTATCTGTAGAGTTCAATGTCTGCAATTGATTAAATATCTCTGCTTGTTACTTATAATTAAGCTTCTATTAAGGTATGGTATATATCTCGTTGCAGGTGGTCATTCCGTATCATTCTTTTCTTTCTTTTTTTTTCCTTTTCAGCAATTGAAACAAATTACTGATATGTAGTACGTACTAAGAGGCAGTAAGGGTTCTGGACAACCTTGTAGGTCAAACAACTTGTTATTTGGCAGGGAATGGAAAGTAAATGATAGTGTGTGGTTATAGTATTAGTATAATCAGAGGTCGAGAGTCAATGTCATGCTCACCATAGTTGAGTCTTTCAATAGTATGATTTCATTGGTCTCCTCTTTTTCTTCTTAATCAACTTTCCCTAATTTCTTGATGATAAGTACTGTGTCAAGGTTGTCTTTGATTAGATCAAAAGATCCGATCATAATACTAAGATTACTGAAACTGTTCAATGTACGATGTGCTGCATTCATTTTAACAGTCTGCATCAGATCAAGCTATCACTCCTCCAGCAACAGGTGAAGTTGCTCATCATTGATAGCATGGCTGCTCTTGCTCTAGGGTAAGTCTAGCTTCGTGATGATTGTGAATTATATAATGAAAATGTTGATCTCTTCAAAAGCTCCTCAAATTTATGATCAATTTGGTCTGATCCTCTTCCCGGACATCTCATGTCTAGAAATTATATATCAACATTTTTGTTCTCTTTTTCATGGAAATATATTTGAGCTTCTTATCAGCATAATATTTTATTTCTGATGAGGGACCTTTATTGCCTTTTCTGGTCCAAACTTGGCCTACAAACTAATGTTTATATTTTGAATTGATCTTGATCAGAAGCATAAAACCATTATATGAAGGGTTCAAAACGCAGTGTTGTTTGTTCTGAAGTGAAATTGGTCAATTTTTCTGCACAGAGATGAGGGTGGAGCTTCTAGACAACAAAAACTGGGTTGGCATGTTTCATTTATCAAGTAAGATACTGTTACTCTTCTGGTATATTTAGAAGAGGGAAAATGTTTCTTCCCGTGGGTGGTACTGATCTGGAACCTTCCTAGGTCACTCGCTGAATTTTCGCGAATTCCAGTTGTTGTGACAAATCAAGTAAGATCTCAAATTGGTGATGAAGCTTGCCTCTATCCCTTCCAAGGTACGAAGGCAAACTTAGATTCTCAGCACTTCCAATTATTTACCAATGCTATATGCATCATTTTATGTTTGAAGTTGCAAAGAATGATGCTGGAAAGAAAGACAACTCTCCTAGATATGATTCTCACCTTGTTGCTGCTCTGGGAATTAGCTGGGCTCATGCTGTGACCATCCGCCTTGTACTTGAGGCTAAATCAGGTCCGTTTATGTGAACCTAGGTTACTACTATAAGGAAAATCCTGCTCCTCATGTAAGATGTGATCGCGCAGATTCTTCAGAGGCATAATTGCTGTTCTAAAATTCTCCATGGACTCTTGTATATTATCTTTTACTTAACTAGTTGTAACGAGAAATTAATACTTTGGTGTTAATTGTTATTCTATTTTGTAAGACAGGAATCATTATGGATGACTTTTTTTTCACTGTTGATTTAAATTCTGATAATCTGTGCTTAAAAGTTGTGGAAATGATATTTGAAAATATTTTTTTCCGTTGTTTGAAAAACCAACTATTGTTTATATTATATGATTACTCTTCTGTTGTAAATATTTGACTTTCAGTGGTTTGTTTTCTCGCAGGTGAAAGGTTTATTAAGCTGGCAAAATCTCCCATATCCCCCCCTCTGGCTTTCCGGTTTAACATAACTTCATCAGGGATAGTCCTTCTGGACGATATTGGGATGGAGCTGAAAGGGTCTGATATAAATACAATCCACTTCCAAGGTTTGTTATTGAGCTTTCGTTGCTAATAAATCTAAGAAACCTGCTCGGGGCATTAAAACTGGTGCAGATGTAGTGGCCGGCTTCCATTACTTGTTTAGTTTTTATTTTCTTTTCCTCCCCTTCATTCTGTAGGAAAAGTTCCTGCGCAGATGAAAATTTGATATGGGTGAAATGTTTGTGCCATCTTTTTTAATTTATCTTCGGAAAATATGCAGGCCAAAACACTTTCTTCAGATTTGAAGGGGAAAAGTAGCTCTAATTAGTTGATTGTCTGCTTTTGTTGAAAGCATGGGACGGCGCGGCAATATAATACCATATTCGTAACTTGAAAAGAAAAGGCTGTCTACAGTTTAGCAATCCATTATCTTTCAGATGATATAAGGTTGTCTAAGTTAATTTTTAGATGCTTCTATATTGCTAGGGTTGTGTAGGCATCTTGTATTTTTTCATTCTTGAGCTGGAGATTTCCTATATATTTTTTCCTTGCATCGTAGTGTTTTTTTTTTTTTTTTAATGGCAGAATCTTGCATTATATTATGGTTTATAATATTAAGCTACTTATGCCAATGCACTGATACATGGGACTTTCAAAATATCATTTGATCTTTAGATGACGGAAGATTTATTGTGGGTAATGGATGATTTATCGTGGATTCCTTTTTCAGTTCGATTACTGTAATATTGCGGTTAAGTACGTGAATTTTAAATATAAATATAAATTCATCAATTCAATTATTTAAACGCCACGGTAAAAGATGATAAGTGGGTATATTCTTATATATAACCAAGCGTCGTGGGACGCGTGGATTAATGTGAAGCATGCGCGGCCTTGCAGGGATGAGTAGGGTTTAACTGTATTGAAGGGCGGGCCCATGCCAACAACGAATCTTTCTCTGCTGAAGAATTATGTTTTAATATTATGGATTATTATTCATCGGGGCCATAAACGCTGTCCATTATTTTTTTTAATGGCCCAGCTTAATCTCCTCATCTTGTACTGTTTCTGTTTCACGTGTGTATTCCTTGATTGATTAATGCATTCCTCCTTTCTACTCCAAAACATAGATGGGGCAGGCCTCTGCAGATCCTTGGGCTTGTCATTTGAATTCTGCTAAATCAATTATTCGTTTTTTAAATCAAAATGTTTGAGGTTTGTTATGCTGGATCTAAGGTTTTGTTTGTTTACATTGTAATGATGTATGATGACTACAGTTAACTTGAAAGTGTGGCTAATCAAAGGTCTGTATCAACCTCGTATCCTCTCTGATTTTCAATAACCAGAAAATTCTCATGGTCCAAACAAAAAAAAAAAGCTAGAGAATTCCCTTGTATAACCATGACCCGACTTACTTTGAGACTATTTAGTCTGGCATTGTCATCGAGAACTAGTCATTTGACATTATTGTTTTTATTTGAGAGAACTGAGGAAATAAAGGTTTTTAATCATTTATTAAACTTGGTACCTTGCTCTAACCAGAAGAAAAAGGCATAAGCTATACCGGCTTCCGGTATTGGTTTTTAAGTCAAGACAAAAATCCAACGATTCCACTTGATTTAAGGTTTCTTCTCTTTCTTTAGCCATATAATATTGAATCGTGATTTCTTTTGGACCAACTGAACCTATCTCTGGCCCTGCCGTCATGCCCTGTGTGTCTGTGTGTGTGTCTCTCTCTCTCTCTCTGTTTTGTCGGTATAGCTGCTTTGGTTATTTGAAACGTGAATCATCTGCCACGCCAAACAGGCTGACTTCGGACAGAAATTAGAAAACAGCCAAATGACTTGTGCACCTTGTCTATTACTATGTTATTGAAGCTTGTTTAACTTTTGAGCATTGGGGTAACCAGCGTTAGTTGCTGTACACAAATAATGAGTAGTTCCTGTACTGATGGCTGTTCCACTTTAATTTTGTTTATTTCTAAACTTGGCATCTTAATCTCCTCGAAATATACAGTTGAGAGGCCAGACATTATCATTTTAATATTATTATGCTTCCAAGTTGCAGAATTTTAAAATTCGTCAGGCATTATCATTTCAATTTTGTTTTGTTTAGCTGATGATGTTGTTTCTTTAACTGCTTCTGATGGGTTTACTTGATCTGCCTCTCGTCCTTGCTATTTGTCTTTCCTATTTTTAACCTTCTTGGTGCCTCTGTTTATATACATAATGACACGAAATGTTAAAAGTTAAGGAAAAAGATGATTTTATGAATGAAAAATAATATTAATACTTGTAGAATAAAAAGTAATAGATAAATAATAGTATATTAACGTGCATAAAAAAAAAAAGGACATAAATACTAACAAATACGTGACTTGGTAGTAAACTGTGTCATTTTAATTAGTGGTGTCGGACTTAAACTTTGGATATTATATTAACTATCCAAAGTCATAGATACAAGTGTGGTTCTGCCCGACATAAACTAATTAGTCCAGCCAAATACAGCTTTCAGACGGTGAATGATTTAATGCTAAACAAGAAAAATAAGCTATAGATCTAACCGTTTCTACCTATTTAGACCAAATAATATATTAACCTAAAGTATGACTTCCTATTTACACCAAAAAGGCAAATACTACAGGGATCTAAATTAATTGGTAAGAACCAAGGTTAGATGATTGCATCTTTTCTTTTTGCCATCTTGATAGTTGTATCAAAACAAGATAACAACCTCAGCTTTCCGGCGTGATTCATGTGAACCTGAGCTTTATATGAGAATACGAGATGGCTCCAAATGAGAATAAATTTTATGAGGAAACTTTCTTTGTGCAATTTTGTTTCATTTACAAAATTCAACAGTTCACATACTGTGGCCGACATTATTTAGTGTGTGTTTAGATTTCAATTAAAAAAATTAATTATGAAAAAAGTTAATTATTAAAATGTGATTATGTTTGAATAAATTTTTAGAAATTGGTTATAATAAAGTTGATGATATTTGGATAATTTTTTTAAAATTAATTTTAAGTGGATAATTCTATTATTTCAAGTGACAAGCTAATAATGTTCAAAATTAATTTTCAAAAGTGAAACAAATTTTAACGTATTTTAAATAGAGTTTTGAAAATCAAATAAAATTTAAAAAAATTGAAGTATTTAAATAATTTTTTTTAAAATTATAATTTTAAACTTAAAGTTGATTTTAGCAAGACCATTACAAATGAGACCGTGACGTACCAGATGATGCTACTGCCCCCTTCTCTCTCTCTGTTTTTTTTTTTTTTTTCTTTGGGCCAGTTTCATCAGCGACGTACCCCCTCCCTTTTTTTTATTTTCATTTCGGGAAAGTTCATATTCTGATTTTAGTTATAAAAAGTGGTCTTATTTCTAAACTTCTCTCCCTTGTGTCGTATTTTTATGTTTTCCGGTCACGCGTCACGGTATAAATTCCATAGCGTGGTTAGGGGCAAAGAGTAATTTTCGTGTGGGTACCCTTTCATATTTTTTATGCGACACGTTTGTATTATTTAATATTTAAAATTTGAATTTTAAAAAATTTGAGGGATATTAATTGCAAATAAGGGTAAAATTTAAAATTAAAATTTTTTAAACAATTTGAAAAATATAACCATATTATTTAATAAACACAGTTAATTAAATTTGCTTTATAAGAAAAATTCAACCAATATTTCCTCAAATGGCTAAAAAACGTTGACCCGTTTTTATAATTTTTACCGTGTCACTGTCACGTCCTGGAACAAACATTTCAGGAAATGGTTGTGGCCTCCCAGGGCATACGTAGTGTGCACATACTCCCTCCGTTCCTTATGTGTAAAATATTTTCAATACTTTTCTTTTCTCTGAATATAAGAGTTTACCAACATATTTTTAATAAATAAATTATTATATTTTTATTATGTTAAAAAGATAAATATTTTTATTAATTTATTTTTTAAAAATTATTTTTGTTTATAATAACTAAAGTTAAGGTTGAAACATTACCATGTTGTTAAGTAAATAATTAATTTTTATTAATTTATTTAATTTGTTAAAAATATTTTATATATAAAAACGGAGGGAATATATAAACACGCCATTTTTTAAAACCCCAGCTATCATAAAACATAAAAGTTGGAGGAGGATAAATTATAAAAAAATCGTGATATTTTTATCATATGATTATTGCTACTTTAACTGTTTAACATCATTTGGAAAACAAAAGTAATCCTATAAAAATGACCAAGAAAGTAGTCCTATAAAATAATGAGCAAGGGAAGAAAACAATGAGTGGAGAAGAAGCACCCACGTTTCCGCAGGGCCTAAACCTCGTACATCTTGCCGACAACGTCCCCATCCAAAAGCAATACCGAGCCTCTTCGCTTTCTTTCTTTTTTTTCTATATTATCTTTGTTACTACAAATATTTAATCTTAATTAATATTCAGACCCTACCACGTTGGACACTTCCATTTTGCAATGTCACGTCTTGTCTGGTTGCATTAAAATATCCATCAAATTGTCACGTCTCAACGCCATTAATGTAATAAATTATAACAGTACAGTGCCTGTTTAAATTTTAGAGATAATATCAATAAAATGATTAAAATCCTGAAAGGTAATTAATGATTAAATCCTTAATAATTTTTTAAAAATAAATTATAGATATTAATTCAAGTTGTTACAAACACAAATTCTAATTATAAATTTTACAGTCCCTAAATTTACATTTATTTTTATATTTGTAATTTATTTATTTATTTAAGAAATTTTATTGAAGATATGATTGTCATCAACTCCTTCTTTTCATAATTGACTTTCATTCGTCCTGAATTTTAGTCAGTTAGTTGATAAACATAAAGTGGTTTGGTTGTTGGAATGGATGGCAATAAAATATGTTAAAAAAATAAAAATAAAAATAAATTAAATTATTCTCTCACTATAATAAATTTAATAAAAACACAATATCACATACCATAAATATTAGAATTGCTCTGTCTCAAGAATTAAATTATAATTCCTCTCATAAATAAGGTTGATCCTGCGCTATGCCAAGGAAGGAAGCAACGGGGAAAGATGGCAGGGCCATAACAACTCTTACTGTTCATAGAATTACAATCATATTTTGCATGAGGTCTGAATTTAGGGAAACTTGGGGATAAGGACCCAATTAAAAACTCAATTCGAAAATAATCTGGACTTTTATAACAGAATACCACGAAGGAAAACATGTAAATTCAAAATATAAAAGATAAAGTGCAGTTTTTTTTTGGGTGTAGTAAAACACGATCTAATAAAAATTCAGCATTTATTTTTCAAAAAAAATCTGTATTTACTTTATATGTTTTGCATTTTAGCTTTCCTATTTTGCACTTTTTCTTCCTTTTTTTTTTTGAAAAACTATAGTTTCCTTTTCCTAAATATTTTTGTTATCAAATCCCTAATCCCAAATTTTCCTAAATATAATCACTCTTTTTATTGTTTACAGTTAATACAACTTACTATAATTATATGACTGATGATATTCAATAATATTTTTAAGTATATAATTCAACTCTCTTGTTTTATGAAAGTATCTTCTTCAATTTTTATTTTTAATGTACCAATCCTTTCGGCCAAAACATGGTACTAATCCTTAATTTCATTATGAAATTTAATTATTTATGTGTTTTATTGCGATACTAAAACTAAAACTACAACACAATAAATTTGTAGTTATTTATTTGTATCAATCCAATTTACATGAAATTGACACCGTTACTTCAACAACAATAATAACAAATTTTATTCTATTAAGTATGATTGATTATATTGAGTGTGAGAGGGTGTTTTATAAAAAATAATTATACATCATTTTACATGTATGATATATAAATATTACCAACAAGCATGTAGCTCAATTAAAAGAAGGTTGTGCTAGTTTAATCGGCTATGTCAAATTGCCCTTGAATAATAGGTAACTGCAATAATAAAAAATGACATATTTAAATAAAATATTCAAATTATATATATATATATATATATTAGTAAGTATAGAAGTGCAAGGTCCCAATGGACACCAAGGTTAGCGTCGTTTAGGGTCTGTTTGGTTGAAAGATTTTGGAAGGAAGGGGAAGAAAGCTAAAATTCTAACATCTCAAATTTTAATCC